TTACAACTCTTCGAAAGAAATCTTAAGCGCATCACGCACTACAAAATACTTGCGACGAAATCCATACAAAGATACCAGAGCAACAAACGACAAACATTATTTTCGACTAATGATGCCTATTGACAGAAAGGAAAGAAAGAAATCTTGAAGAGGGTCTGGGTGTAAGTGTAGATTTCTTCTCTTCCCCACACCCATACTCACACCCATACCCACACCACTAACTATACACTCGATTTGTTAGTCTCTGCAGAGAGTACGGTCTCAATGATGGCTTTTATTAGAATTTAATAGACAGCAATACTCTCATCGCTTCCCATGAAGCAAAGTCGGAATTGAATAAGATTAGTACATTCTATAAACAACAGGTATTTCGATAATTAACACGCACAAATAAGTATCCGAACAATATAATGCAGACTGAAAATCACGAGTCACCATTTCAAAAACGTCTGGTCGCGACGATGCAGCAGCCACAACGTCGCGGTTGACTCTCTATTATCAACTGGCTTAATCTTGCTTTATCTCTCTTTCTACCAATCATGTTCGGTGTGTTCAACATTGAACTGTTGCGCTGCATTAATTGAAATATAAAGAAGGAAGATGCATGGTTAGGAATGCTAGACACCAATTTCGAAATTGGTAGAATTTAACATGCTTTGAAGTAATGGATAAGGCAAAATAGCATCGAACTCTGCACTAATAATATTTGGAAAAGGTAAATATCATGATCTGAAAAATTTTATGTTGATTGATACGATAAAAATCAAATTCTTACTTATTCATTTCAATAAAAAGATACTAGCAATAACAATGATATTATTCATTTTGTTTTCTCTGATGGTATCAAAAATTTCTTTAACTTGTTTTCTGTTTCGAATAGTATTGATTTGTAAAATCGACACTCAGTAATTATGACTATCATCAAAAGATAATTGGGTGTGAGTGTGAATTTCATCCCTTCACCCACACCCTATTTAATCACAATAAGAATGCCAAAAACACAATTTTACTTAAGTTTCGACTTGTCGATACGTTCCAAAGCACATGGACGATATTTTCAATGATAAAATTTTTGTTCTATTTATGAATAGTTTTAGAATTTTGAAAGCTTCAAAAAAAAAACATACTCTTGAATACAAAGATTTGTATAAATTAAAATATTAATCATCTTTTTGAATAAACAATCGATCAATACTATCGAAGATTACATTGAATTTCATATAATAGTAGATGTAAAAACATTCTGAGAAATACTTATTGTACAAATAAAGCAATCAATGTCTTTAAGTTTTTTTTTTCAAAGAATAATTTCAACATCAAACATATGTGACCATCTATTATCTACTAAGAAGAGAGTCACATTGACAAAAAAGATTCATTTCACTTACGATGACATTTATTTAGAGAAATAGAATTATTTGAAAAGAAAAACAAATATCTATTCTAAAATAAGTCTCTTTCTCTTGTTTATTCATCAAATTTAACATAAGATTACGCTTGATTAGTATTTTATGTGAAAAGATAAAATAAATATATGTGTTTTATCTACCATGAAGACTAGAAAATTTGTACAAGAAATAAATAAATTAATGAGCAAAGAGAAAAATTGTAGGCAAATAATTTTATTTAACATATATTAAAAATAAATCTTCTAATAATTGGTTTAAAAATTGATATTCAATCTATTAGTATTATTCATAACCATCGTTGACAATAAATTGACAAGACATTTGCATAGAAATGACTTGTTTTACGACTATTAAAATAAGTTGATATGTATTATATTTTTCGAACAATAAACAAAAGTTAATTCGTATCTATATAGATACTCATCTTTAACTTATTCTATTATGTATCTCTTATGTCGATATGTAACGAAACTCTTTATATTAGTTCATATGTAGTTTTTTTTCTTTCCTACTTATTTACTTCAATATGGTGCATTTATTATCAATTAAATTACCATTCAAGTATCTTTTATTCAATACAAACTTGTTATTTTGTTTGCTGTTTTAGATTTCCTACAATGTCTTAATCAGTTCTATTGTGTTCTATTTTGTAAGCATTTTCTCATAGTTATTCATTATTTTTCCGCAAAAATTAAATATTATCTGAGATTAGTTTCATGTTCTAAAAAAAAGTACCTTATGCGTTGCCGGATATATAATTACTAACAGTTATAGAAAAAAAAAAAAGAAAGAAATACTATACAGATGGTAACGAGAGTATGTGCATGATGCTTTATTCGTCATTATCATCAAGATAATTAAGTTGTATTATAAGTGACAAGTCATTTAATGAATACTACGAAGGTAATATGATTTTATTTTATACTCTCAGTTCAAAGAATATATATCCGCAGAATTTTGAACATTGAGACACTGCTTACCTAACATATAAAAAGGTATCTTAGTCATTTATAATCCACTTATGAACTTGATTATCCATCATTACAGGTCTAGATTAGATTGGAGACATTTTGACACTATCTATCAGAAACAGTTAGATGCATACGAAGCAATACATGCATTCAAATACATATGAAAAATGTCAAACTATTGATGAAGATAACATTGAAGTCGATTAGAAAAATTAAAATAAGTGGTATTATTTAAATATCAAGCATATTTAAAAACAAGATACGTTCGAACTGCATCAGTTTTTTTAACAAATATCGTTTAAATCTATATAAAATAGATTTAATGGTTAGATCTAGTGACCTTAAGTACTGCTGCAAAGTTCATAAAATCTTTTAAATATTGTCTTAATCGAATCCAATAAAACCAATCTATATGTTCTATTTAATATACTATGAAAGTAATTTATGTTTTGTTTTTAAATCGTCGAATAAATTATTTCATATGAGAATTGTGATTGCTCTTTTCGATATATTGTTGATTTAGTCCATTTCTAGTTCAGTATTCTATATAGTGAGGAAAACAATGTTCAATTTTTAATTATTTAACAAATAAAACTTAATTCAAGGATATTTTCTTTTTTCTTTTGTTCATGTCATTAGAAATTATTGACTTATTTTTTGTTACTTATCGACATATTTTTATCTGTCATTGGGCATATCCGTTAGATTCTCATGCGCATGTTATAATTATGTATGCATGTTCAAGCAGAAAATTTTCTTGCTTCCATTTATAAAAAAAAAAGTTTTTATATGAGAAAATAAATAATTGAGTATGATATTACTGATTTTAAAGAAAAATGTCCTGGATACTCATTCATTTCATAATTATTATAATAAATTAAAAAAACTAAAACATCCTTATATTAAATTTTCAATTGTAGTCATAATATTAATTGAATTAATTTTCTAAAAATATGAAAAATTTATTTATTATTCTAAAAGATAATTCAATGAAAAATAAATATATTCTATTAAGATAAAATAAGAAATATTTTCAACTAAGTTTTTCATAATAATATAATTTTTTATTGAAATGATGAAATAAAATTTCTTCAATTGTAAGAAATTCGAATGTCTATTTCCTTGATGAAAAAATAAAAGCATCGAACTGAAATGACATGCTTTATTTAACTTCGACATGTGTGGAAAAGACTATTAGTAGATTATAACAAAAAAAACTTGTGCCTTCAAGCACGTTTATTATCTTTTAACAAATTAGTACACATTTACATCTCACATTTCTTTTTCCAATTTTTAACGCTCAATAAAAGATTTCATCTAAATTGATTATTCACTTTTTGAGCATTATATTCAAGTCGATATGACCAATGATTAAGAGATTTCAATATCTTTTTATTACATCTGACAAAAAAACGGAAGAAAGACTATGAATATATATATATAGATTATTTATTAAGAAGTCTATTCATGTTTAGATAGTACTTGAAGTTATTGAGCTCGAATTGATTGGCTTCTTTCAATTTGTATTTGCCAATTAACTTTGTATTACCGAAGGTTTTTTTTTTTTAACTTTCGCAGAACATCTCGACATTTGTTAGATCATCCTATAATTAACTGAAATGTAATGCGCTGTTGAATATTGTCATATGATAAAACATATCGAATAATAAATCTATACTAATAACATAAGATATACGGTAAAGAAAATATATTCTATAGAGACAAGTTATATCGAGTAATCATACTTGACAGATGAGATTTTTTTTTCCTCATATTGCATGATGTGTCTATTCCTAGGTAAATCTTTTTTGAAATTCATCAAATTTGACTAAAGAAGAAAAAAAAAAGCTAAATCCTATCATAATCCTTTTTATGTCTTGATAAATTATTGTTCATCATCACTTTTATTATATTATTCATCCTTTTTTTATTATTATTATTATTTGATGGATCTATTCCTCAAGAGTCTTTTGATGTCTAAGATTTTCACGATCATTCACATGTGCATTTTTCAACTGTCATCATTGTTATCTATTGAAAACATAGTAATATATTTGAAATAGAACAAGAAAAATGGAATATTCATGAATCGTCGCCTAATGATCTGTTCATTGTCAATGGTAACATTTTAAAAAAAAGCGAGAAAGAAAGAGAAATTGTAAGAAAAAAATATTTCTTTTGACAACGAATAAAACGGATGTTTTAGGAAACAATCATTGTATTAGAAAGACGATAATATTGAGTTGCTCTTCTCCTTATTATTATTTAACATACTTAAGTTTTTTTTTTTTTTTTTTTTTTTATAAATGAGTATTATTTTTCTATTAAATATTGATAGTCTATTAGGAAATGTTGTCAATCATGATTAATTCTGTATCCTATTTCGAAAATTTTCTCTGATTGATCATATGTAATATATCCGGAATACCACCTACTTTTTCTCCTGTTAATAATAGCATAAAAGAAAAATTATCTAGAAGAGAATAAGAGAAAGAGAATAAAAAAAGAGGCGGTGAAGATCTATAGTATCACTTAAGAGAAAAGACATTTTACATATTAAATTTTAGATATATGAGAAAAACAAATCTTAATTTATATTATATTTATATTGATTTTCTTAATGACATACAATTCATCATTTATATTAAAAACAACTTGTCTTGAATCTGGTACTCGTGGTCCAGATGCACCTTTTTATCGTTGGTTAGCTCTTGGTTATGTTTTTCTCTTTATTCTTGCATTAACTGCTAATCTACGTGTACTCTTTAAATTATTTCATTATTCAAGACGTCGTTTTCGTGATCATATACTTTTATTAAATTTATGTGCTGCTGATTTATTTTTTACACTTGTTTATATTCCAAGTGAAATCTATGCATATACTGTTGGACGTTGGCATAATGATCAAATATGTAAAATAATAGCTGCATTAAAAGGTCTAGGAATTTATGTATCATCATGTACAATTATTGGTATATCACTTGATCGTTATCTATCAATTGTACATCCTTTAACTGTATATCAATCAAATACAAGAAATAAATTATTTGTTGTTGGTTCATGGTTTATTTCAGCTTTAGCTTGTATACCACAAGTAAGATTTACATTTTTGATTTTTTTTTTTTTTCTTTTTTAAAATTTTGTTTTTTTCGAAATAGTTAATTATATTTAAACGATTAACAAATGAAGTCTTATGTCGTGAAATGTGTGGCGATATATTATCAACTGATCCAGGAAAACGTATAGCTTATAATATTAGTGTTGCTATATTTGCTTATATAGCACCATTATTAACAATTTTTTATTCGTATTTTCGTATATTATATGTATTACATAAACGATCAGATCGACGAACATTTCGATTTGTTAAATGTACGAGTAGTAAAAATCGATATGATACAAATCAAATAAATAGTTCATTAAGATCAAGTAGAAAAAATTTAAGTGGTGAAATATCTACTCATTGTGGACAATCATTAGTACAAGAAGAAATTAATTCACATAATATGAAAACAATAACACGAGCTAAATTCAAAACATTAAAATTGACTGTTCTTATTGGTAAAAAAAAAACAAAAAAAAGAAATTGATAAAAAAACAAAAAGATTCTAAATTATGTTCTTCTCTTTATTTTAGTTATTTGTTTTATTCTCTGTTGGACACCATATTATTGTATTGTCTTTTTTATACTTATAACTGATGCTAGAATTAATTATGAAAATGCTAAAACTACTTTAATAGATACATCAATTATTGATCAATCAACACATAATGAACGTTCGCTTTTAATTGTTATGATGCTCGCTGTATCGAATTCTGTTTTAGATCCATTAATATATGGTAATTTTCACCCGATATCATATTGAGTTTTATTGTTCTTATTTTAATTTTAACTTTTTTTGTTTTCTTCAAAGGTTGTTTTATGGTAAAACCAATTAAATCAAGTTGTTGTAATCGATTAAGAACTCGAACTGAAAGAACAACATTTAGACGTAATGGAAATCCTTTAACAGCTGATAAAGAATCAAAATTAACCATGAGCAAAACGAATATAAAACTTGACAACCATCAACAACATGATGCTGCTGCCGCTGCTGCTGCTGTTGAATGTCAACTTTAAAAATAAAACAAAAACATACTCGGATGTTGTTTATTTTCTGTCTATATATATATATGTTGTTTTTCTTTTTATAATCGTACAAACGAAAAAAAAAATCGAATGGATTATGATGAATCTGTTTACTAGAAAAACATATTATTATAAATTATTCATAGGCATCTCTCTAATATCTTCTATCAATCATAGACTAGACAAATACCAACATTAAACCAATATATATATACATGTATATGTAACTGTTCAGTGATCTATATAAACATTTATATGAAAATGAACAAATGGTCATGAATTCAATGGGTTATATTTTTTTTGTATTAACATCTACGAGATTTATTTAACCGAATTAGAAGAATAAAATTGTTCATATGAAACATTCAGATTGTTTAAAAAAAAGACATAAATGTCGATCGATAATAGATATCATTCAGAAAAGAAGATAGATTATGCCAACTAACGGGTGTCCCATAGTAAATGATCAGTTTTTGTTTTGCTTTTTTTTCATCATCTAGATGTACTGGACGATGAAAAAAACAGAAATACAAAAACCGACTATTTACTAGGGGGATCAAAAAGTTCTGAGAATTTTAAAAAGGATGATATCGGGTTTGGTAACCTATCCAGAATTAAAAAACCAAACACACCATGTAGTAGAGCAAGTCGAAGCGCTTCGAATGGAATATAAAAAAATCTCATTTTCATAAGATTTTGAGGAAACCAAACTGGATTTACTGGTAGGCAACTATCGAGACAAATCACTGACCATTGTGGGCCTCGGTATCAGTTGAAAGTGTTTGTAAAAATAATTTTCCTATATACAGTTTTGTAGCACTTTTCACGGGCTACAAGCTCGTATACTTAGCATCTCCGATCGTCCTCTCTTTGATAGGAAAAAATGCGACTTTTCAATGATCCACCATCGTTTTCTACAGGTAGTAGCTCTTGGTGAGTTTTTGAATCCATGTGGACTTGTTATGTATCCCACAATAAATAAGATATTCGATAGTTCAAATAGAAAAAAAATCTCTAAACAAACTCCTTGTTATGTTCATCAAATTAGATAAGAACTTTTTTTTTTCAAATGTTAATTAGCATTATTTAAAACGAGATCTTTATCAAAGACATATAAGATTTAATTAAGAAAAGAAAAAACATATGAAACTTTAATTGAGCGAATATATCTCGAGCAAAAAACTAATCATGTCTAAGTTTATTGACGTTTGGTCTATTTAGTCTTATAAGTGAATATGTTTATTAATAAAATTAATATAATATGAAGAACTTTTGTTTTTTTTCTTTATTTGTATTTCAATCAATTAACAACCAGAATAGAAAAAAAAAAAACTTCAAGAAAAACTAATTAGAGAAATAAACAAGAATAAATAAATAAATAAATAATATCTAAATTCCAATTAACCATAATATTCTGTTTGATGTTGATAATAATTCATATTTTGAAAAACAAATGGACAATTATAATTACCTATATTATATGGTAAATTATCAACAGAAGGAATTGATGATTGATATGGATAACTGTAAACAAAAAAAGAAAAAGAAACATATTCTTAGATTTACGATAAAATAATAATTCATTTTCAATAACCGAAAATTTTCCCATATGGAATTGTGAAATGTTGAATGATTATTTGAAAAATAACAAGGAGATGATGACATTGACGAAGGTATACAATTATTTACTGGTACATTAACATATGGATTCACTGGAGAAATTGTTGAAGAAGCACATGATCCATCTTCATCCTATATTAATTTATTAAGATTTCGTTGTTTTTTTTATAAATAAATAAACAAAGATTTTCATTTGATTAAATTCATTTTTAATAATATTATTATTATATAAAGCTTAAAAATTTTCAATAAATGATCTTTATTTAAACGATTATGATTAATTTCAAATTAAAAAAAAAACAATCGTTTATTTGCTTAAAGAAAAAGTTCATTTATCGATATATTCTTAAATATTTATAAATAATAATATAATTAAATATGATATGAATCATATGAAAATCTTCTTTTTGTTTTGTCATACTAGATGAAATCCACTATAAGATTGTCGTTGATTATCTCTTTCCAATGGTTGATGATTATCAAGTTTTAATTGATTTTTTTTTAAACGTGCTCGACGATTTTGAAACCAAACCTTAATTATAATATATATATATATCGTATTGTAACTAAAAATAAATAGTACTAACTGTTATTTTTTGTGTAGGTAAATCAAGTTGTTGAACAAGATGATCAATCATATCGATTGTTGGATAATGATGTTGTTCAAATGTTGTTTCAAGTGCATCCAACTATATCATTTTTTTAATTTAAAAAAGCATTAAAAACAAAAAAAACAAGAGAATTCTATTAATACCTGTTCTTGACTAAATTTAATTCTTGCTCGTTTTTTATAAATTATTGGCGTTGATATATCATTATTTTCATCTTGTTCATGTTCAACATTTGATGATGCATATGTAACATCACTTGTTTCTTCATCTATTTCATATTTATCATTATTTAACAACAACAAAAAGATATATATATATATAGGTCTTACAATTCGTTCCATATTGAAATGTTAATCCATTAGTAATATGTTGTTTCATCATTTGTGAGAATATATTTTCTTGAGTATCTATTGATGAATTATTACTATTATGATCAGGTTCATCCATACGAGTCAACAATAACAATATGGCTTAAACATCAGTCGAAACAAGTATATATATATGCATACTTATTTTAGTCATTTCTTTATGTTTTCTTATTCTATGATTCAATCGATATAAATAAACAAAAAAAAACAATAATCGACATTTTAGTCTGGTCTATTTTATTGTTAAGAATTGTCTTAGCGAATGAACTATTAAGTTAACATTTCGATTATTATCATATATTGAATTAATAATTGTTGACATATCATTATATTCTGTTTTTTTTTTGATTACGAAATAAATCAGATGAACAAATATTCATGATAATAGTGTCACAGATTACAGAATAGTTTAAGATTGTTTTCATTAGTCTATTAGATTTTTATCGATTATTTATGTAAAACTATATCAATAGATCGTATTAGACAAGTTATTTTTAATATCGTTAATTGTTGTGATAGTAATATCAGCACATATTGATCTTATTATCGATGTTGAGAGTTTATAATATGATTATATTATTCTTTTAAATCATGAAGATTTTTAATATTTGACAAATTTTTTCATTTATAAAACATTTTCGAACTATCTATACTGATCATTTTACTTACGAAAAAAAGAACTAACAATTGAGTTATGACGTTTGTTAGTATAAATCATCGAATCACTCTTATAAATTTTTATTTATTTCAATATGATCAAGTTAAAATAATTCATAATATACAATAGATAAGAAAATATTCTGTCTTTCATTTTAATAATTGACTATTCACTCTACAATATAATGTCATTCATCAGTGGTTAACATCCTCGGTCATATTAATTAGCAATAACTCATAGTTAGTTTTATTTGTAGATGCTTATAAAAGAAAATTCAATAATCAATTAACTAAACATAAACTTCTATGGTTAAAATAATCATCATTTGTATTTGATTGGTATAGATAAATAATTCAAATAAAATTATATTATTCAAGACTAAAACATTTTTGTAAACAAGAATATAATATAGACTAACAATTTATTTCGAAAAAAAAGAAACCATTCCGGTAACCTTTTTAATGAGTAAAAAACAGCAAACACTTCAATATTAAAGTTTCCTCAAATATTTTCAAATCTATTCTTCATTCTTATACGAATCATCTATAGTTATTTATTGTTTATTTGATGAATAAATTAAGTTTTATCATTATATATATATATATATATTATGATCACTCACAAATGACAGTTTAATATGATTATCATCTCTCTAGTTTTACTACGTTCATAATTAAGTTTTTCTTTTTTTGCGTTAATTATTTATAAGACTTTTCACATAAACAATAACTAGACGTAGAATATAAATAGCTTTAAAGATTATATTAAACTTCATAATTATAGAATGAATATTGTAAGTGAGATTAAATATTTATCATAATAATGAATATGAAATAGTTGATATGTTTTATTTAAAAAAAACTATCTCTTTGTTTTTTTTTGTTTGTGTCTGACAATAACGAAATAGAACAAGTTTATTTTAGCCTATAAGACGGACAAATATAATGATTTGATCATTGAAAATGAATTAACGTCCACGACCGCCACCACCGCCACCGCCAGGACCTCCTCGACCACGTCCACGACCACGACCTCGTCCACGTCCACCTCTACCACCCATACCAACTGGACCTAAACAAATATATATATATATAGATTAACAGAATTATATCGATTTAAATATTAACCAGGTCTTTCACGTTTAGCTTTAGCTTTTGGTGTATCATCAACAAGTAATGTATCTAATGGAAGACTATCCGGTAATATAAAATATCGAATATTGTTGCCTAAATGAAAACAAAAAAGCATTTTTTTTTTTCTTCCATTAATTATTCATTTTGTATGTTTTCTTTTATAAAAACAAACCTCGAATAGTAATAAAATCTAATGAAATAGGTTCACCATTTTTTGGTGTTAATTTAGCCGATTTTAAATGTGTATTCATTGACATATCAACACCAATAACTGTACCAAATACATTTGAACCATTTTTAAGTGCTATTGTTACACTTTCATGAGTTAATTTCATAAGAAAACGAACAAGTTTCATTTTATCGAACGAATTTACCAATAAATCTTTGTCAAAGAAAAAACACAACTAAAGTCTATTCTATCAATCGATACATTTTAACTAATCAGATTCGATTTCTTATTTTCTACCTACCTCTATTTTAAAGAAAAAAAAATAAAGCGGCATCTAGAAAATCAAAAACAATTTTGTCAGTCGCTTTCCTTAATGATTGACTGACATCATCGAAAATATGTATTACACTTGCAATTAACTCTAAATATAAA